GTGATCATTGTCTTACTGCGTATGATAACATCATCTAGATATACCAAATATTTACCTTGTTTACAATCACTCAGGGTCGTTTGCATGAGGCGTTGAAATGTTGCTGGAGAATTTACCAACCCTAACGGCATTATTTCAAACTCATACAGGCTTGATTGTACAGTGGACGCTGTTTTTTCCTGTCTACTGTGTGTACTTCTACTCTCTAATATCCCAATGGTAAATATAGGGTGGCAAACCAATTCGACTCCCCTAGGTCATCAAAAGTTTCGCCTATGTGTGGCAGGGGAATACAGTCTCGTCCAGTTAACTGGTTCATCTTGCAATAATCTACTCACAGCCGAAGTGTGGGATTCGATTTCTAAACTGAAACCACTGGGGAAACCCGTGGAGATACGAAGGGTTTGATGACATTCTTCTCCAACAGTTCGTCAACTAACCTACTGAGCCTTCCTCGTAATGTGTAGACAATCGTCGTGCAGACTGTTTACAAGGTGCGGCGTTACCTGTTTCTATGTGATTTTGGATCAGTTTTGTTCTCCCCGGGGTTCTACCATCCCATTCAAAACAGTCCATACAACTGTCTAGAATTTTATCGAGGTTGGCTGTTGTTTCCAAGGGTAAGGGTTCTACAGTAGTCAGCATTCACTGTCTCTGGACCATGATATAACCCTTCTCGCCAAAAGTGCCGTGATCTAGACCGTTCCCTGAAATGAATGCAATGAAACCGCCATTCAGTATAAGGGTCCCTTGGCTACAATCTATTGACCAACCTAGCTTTCCTAGGAGCTTGACTCCTAGGATTACTTGCCGCAGCACCTGAGTAGACACGATGAAGGAGTGCTGAAGCGATAGTGTCCCAGATTTGAGAGGTGGTAGGAACATTCCCTGATATTGCGTGCAATCTCCACTGGCTGTCGTAAGCCGCAATTGATGAATCCCTATTGTGAGCCTAAACGTCTCTGGGACGCATGAGGGATGCATGACAGAACAAGTTGCTCCTGAGTCAACTAACATACACTTTTCCACCTACAAATCCTACAACTTTCGTGGAGGAGGTGACGCCAATTAGGTTTACCGTTGGTATACACTTTATATCGACATTTGACTCACCTGTGTTGTGCCCACAACTCCTGGCAAGATTACCACACTGTGTGTAGTAGTAGCAAGCGCTTCTTGAAGTAGATTGTGACTGTGAACGTCCTTTCAGCTGCAGCATGGGCTTCTGAGCGTATTATGTTGTCCTGTGCCCATATCCCACTGCATTGATTTGTGGGAATGTGGTTCCCGGCTCTTCCAGTCCTTTCAGTAAGCATACCCTATTTTCAGCTTCTTCCGAGGATGCTGGGGTGTTCAGGTTAAAATCCTTCCTGTAACGGAAGTCGACACCCCCCGGGGACTTGCAAAAGACAGCGTCTTCAACTGCTGAACACAACCTGTCATGCATAGCTTGAGGAGGAAGCTTGCACAGACGCAAGATGAACCGTTCATGAATTCACCTTGTTTCTGGTCGCACTAGCTGAGTCTTTTCAGCGATTCTACATAAGGTACTGGTGGCACTGTGCGTGTTCTTGGAGTACTCAGTAGGGTAAGCAAAGGCATATGCGCATAATCCAGACCAATTTTCTGCACTTCTAGGGGCCTCCAACACAGTCGATGACGAATCCATTTGGATGAGGCACGTTCATCGGGTCTACGTACCGGCACACCTTGCCTGACCACAGATCGAAGTCATAACCGACCTCCAGTTTATGAGACAACGCACGGACAAAAACGCAACGCAGGCTGATTTGATTGAAAAGCCTGAGTAAATGCTTAATCAAGTGATACCTTTTCAAAAGTTCAGACTGTTGAATTATAGTACAAGCGATCAGAACAGGTTCTTATAAATGTCAAATTGTAAACCCTTCACCAAGGTCGCCAGCAAAGTTGAGCGAAAACCCAAACTTCGTTCTTTTCCTAATGATATTTATGGCCAATCGACAAACAACATGTATTTGGATGAGTGCTATGCCTCCACAAGATTAAACGCTATTTCAGGAAGAGCAGAACGTCCTGGAAAGCGGCAAAATGGCATAAAATGAGATTGTGAATATTAAATTATTGGAAGTTTGTTTACAAGATAAATATAAGAAGGAGCTATATAGCACTTGAAATGATAGTACACATTTGCAATGGTCAATGCTAACCAAATTGGTGTTATCAAACATGGGCGTTGTTATGTTTTTACCTCATCAAAACAACCAGACTTTGAGCTTGCGAAGAATGTGAAAGCAAAGAGTAAATTTCAGCCTTATTAAAGACCTAATGAGTTGAGGTAAAGAAGAGTATAATAGTAATCAGATGGAAGGATTGTCATGAAGTATATAAGTGACATTTCAGGGAGAATAATAATAATATTTTATTTCTGGAACAGAAACCAGCCATTTTTACAGGCATGAACATATGTACACTAACTAGAACTTATAGAATATATATGATTTGTTAATCTAGAAATAGATTGAATACTGGTAAATTTGAGAGAAATATTTTTAAAAAAATGTACAAATAAGGCAATAGGTATTTTCCGAGATATGCTTTCAACTGAATAATTCATGAGATATAGCATCAAATCAAAACTGTAATTGAAAAAAATACGGTATGTCAATTTCACGCGGGAATTATAAACGATTACGTTAATTGTGGAGGGTGACAATAAACGTTATAGTGATATATTATCGCGGAATGTATGGGTTATCGTGTTCACGCCCATAGAGGCGTTATAAGCGTTTACTTTTGTAAAGTAGATAATATATAACTGGTTTCAGGCTTCTATAACCGAAAAAGCAACATTTTCCAGTATTGTGTTCGTATTAATGGAAGAACCTGTCATGATATCCCAGAGTATGTATTACTTCAATACCTCATCGTATATAAGAAATTTAGCAAAAAAAGACTATTCTTCGCGTTTTAGAGCCTTAATGGTCTATTATTTGCTAGGTTTTTGAGGAAATATAGGTTGAAAATTAGGTATATACAATGGTTGTTTTCATAGCAGTTATTCTATGATAACGAGACATTTGAAGGAGAACTAGCCCACAGACACAAGTGAAATATACGTTTTGAGGATACCAAACACTTTTTTATCATCATCCGTGATGATTGAAATATTCCATAACACATCGAAGAGAGTATGCGATGAATGAGGCAATTTGCTGAATTTCCTGGTGATTTTATCCATTTCTGTGAAGTTCCTAGTTAAAATGGCTCAGTTGAAGATGTGATACTAGTTTAATTTACATTGTCACATAGAAATTCGGGAGACCGTAATTGCTGAGTGCATTACATTGCATCAGATTATCTCGATATCATTGTGCATTTGTGCCAGAAGAATAGTATAGATGGTGCTTCTACAATGCCAGACTGCTTCAAATTGGAATCACCTTTCTGTAGAATAGTAGCTCGCAGGTATGTCCTACAACTACTAAACGTGTTACTTCAGTTATATCAGTCTTAATAATTTTTCATGTTCACATCAATAACATATTCTGAGATGCTTAATGAATTACTTGTGACTATGAATGACATGGAAGGTGTACTTATGGCTCATGTTTCTGAAGCATTTATTATGAAACAAGTTATCTGTAGGGATTTTGTGATGTTTAAGTTACAATGCTTGTGTGTATGTAGTTACTGCATGCTATTGTACTTGAAGGGACAGTTGGTGAAAGTGAAGATATGATAAACTTTTCTCTAAAGTCACTATGAATACTGCAAACTGTTGCTAAGAAACAGCATCAAAGGAATAAGTTCCGAATAGCTAGAAAACACTACTGCAGTTTCTCAGGATGCTTTTCTCCTCCTGGAATACCTTTTAATTGTGTGAGGGAATAGCACTTACCGATATATATGCAGTGTTCATTGTGAAGGGTCCGGAGTTTAACTTTTATTGTAATCTGTTGTAATTGCTTGTACAATAAATGAACAATCTAAGCTTTTGAAAAAGTTTTAATTTACGATACTTCACGATTGTAATTTATAGCCTAAGTTATTGTACCTGTAGAGATGTCATGCATTCCTTGTAAACACCCATTTATACAGTATATTAAGTTATTATTTGCTTGGTGCTATACTTTAGAAGAAGAACAATGTATGTCACAGTGAAAACCGCAGAAGAATGCTGTCATGACCAAAGAATGAGAAAGGAGAATGAACCTTTTTTAGCAAAGGTAGGAGAATATAAAGCGTTTCACTTTTACATTACTTATTTCTAACTTCAACGATTTAAAAATTATACTTTATTCACTTACTTGTAGATGTTCGGTCAAGTCAGTCAACCAGGTCACAGCAATTACGCATCCCCGCAGTAATTACAAAAAACAATTGTGTGAAGACATTCGCTTAATATTTTTTATGAAATATATTTAACATCCTGCTTACCATACTTTTCTTATTCTATCTCAGTGAAACTAAATTTGTCATTATGACGAGATGTAGGCCTGAGAAACTAATTGTAGGCATAATTCAACGTCGGCGAAATCGTACTAACATTGCTACAGCCCAACCTATTAAATTATTCCTCTCGTGTAGACTTCAGTTTACACTGTATGTTAACACCCGTAGTCATATGGATTGACATCTTGCTTTAAGTGAAATAGTAGTAATACAGTACTTTTGATTACACTTAACTTCATACGAAATCGAAGTCAACTGCAGGGCCCTAAGTTCTATTCTTATTTGTCAAACACTGAAGTTAGGTATTTTTGTCATTAGTCCCTACAGATTTATCTATGACTAGGAGACGTAATCTCAGATTTTTTTCGACGTGACTGAAGTACTTATAATTCACGACTTATATCGATGGAAAGTGTTCCTACAGAATAGCACTTACGTATAGTAAGGAATTCATATCCTAGGGAGCACCGGTCTAGCATGCCGTACTCCCAACGCGAACACACGAACAGAAAGACAACAATCTTAATACGAAAAGTTTATTCTTATTGTAATACGAAAGTATTCAATTTACACATCAAGAACATTGTTGATTTGAGCGACTACTTCTCCAGCGAACTCTGCGGCAAACGTCCGTCCATATTTGTCACAAATTCTCGTCAGGCCCGCATTAATAAGCCTCCTATTGGTTACGTATAAGTCACATTGATTTCGCGGCACAATTGCTGACGTGCTTGGAATTGCGTACGAGTGGCGAGACCATGTCCATCGTTTACACTTCTGCAGCACATGATTAACTACAAAAGGTGGAACGGTAAACGGAAATAGAATTATGCACACAATATAAAAGGATAAATAATGACAGTGCTTACGTCCTGTTTTCAGTTAAGACAAACCCTTATGAAATATATATACATTTTAGTATCTACGAATTTCAGTCAGTTAGGAGTAGGTTAATATGCATTAACTATGGAGACATAAAATAGGGAATACTTCAGGTGGCAACCTAGTATATCTCACGTGTAAATGAATATACAAGTTTCAAAAAAGGGTATTTTACCTGTGAAACACGCCGTTTTTAAATGCACCATCAGCAAGTGTCGACAGGGATACCGACAAGTCTGGAACGTCATACAAGTACATGTGCATGCGCGCAGATCCACCTCTACTTGTCTCCCATTGTCATCCAAGAAGATATAATCAAAAGCTTCAAACTGAAAAGAAGTCCATCGTCGCTTTGCATAATCAGCGATCACTTTCTTCGCAGTGTATGGCGTCAGCTGGCGTAAAATTGGTATTATGCGTTCGGAACATGAATACTTGAGGGAACGCGACTGAGCAATCATGGACTCCTGCTCTATTCTAGAATTACTTAGTTGAAACCATTTGTAAACCTTCAGCATGCTTTTATGCAGACTATCTGATCTAAGCAAGTACCGCTTCATCTGCTTGTGAGAACTTTCTACTCGATTGTTGGTATCATTACCCAAAGTCAGTACATGTTCCCTGAAAGCTGCTGCCCACAAGTGTCGTCGACTCATCCAACGACGTTGTAAATACTGACTAACACCAACATCCAATCTGCTTATAACTCTGAAATAGAAGTTAAATCTGGAAAAATGAAAATATTAAAGGCATTACTCAGATCTCCTTTTACACTGAATTAAGCGACATAAGTAGTTCTTAACAATGGGATTCCGCGTCTAAAATTGAAATTTTAATTACGCTTTTAAATAATTTACTTTACGACAAAATGCACGACAAACATGAAAAGAAAAAAGAACAATGTGCGCTTCTCTGTGTGTTAACTTCACTGCTCCTATTTCGGCTTGCACACAATCCATAATGAATGTTTCTGTTTTAGAGGTGTCTTCCATTATTCTACGAAACGAGTCCAAAATCCAAACAACATCACGCTTGAATTCCTTTCGCGTCCAAGCAAATAGAACCGGTCTCCCACGACCAAAATTATCCGTTACAACTAATTGAAACAAAGAATACCTGCATGTTGATTAATTAATGAATAAACTTACTTCCCTTTATTTGTGTTATATGTAGAATCGATGCCAACAACCTCCGGAAACTGTTTATACAAATCTATTTGCTCATAAGTAGAAAAACAGACTCTCATTAGTGAATTCATTATCGGTTCATCTGAATAATACTCCAATAACTTCCCACGGGACTTAAGGAATTCAAAAATGTCATAACGGCTCGATATACCTGAAGTAGTTGACATTTACATTAACGTTACCTTTATTAACTGAAGCTTTCAGATTTCTAACGTCATTAAGAGTTATGTCCATGTGGAATGTTTCCTTAACATGCATAATTATTTCATCTGATGAGTGTGATTGGTGAAGAAGTGGTTCTACATTTTCTTTCTCTTCCGCTGACAGTCGTCTAGACCATGGATCATTCTGCATATACACCCTGGTGCATGGATGGTTGTGGACCATTTTGTGGGATGTTATCACGTATTCACTATAACGCAAAATTACGCGAAATGCAGACAGACAGTTGCAACATTTAGACCTTAAACATACATATTATCATAATACAATTCCTCTTACGACTTGTTTCGCAATTTCAGGCCAGCTTTTCCACGGTTCACGCCAAAAGTGCATTTAAAATAAACGTAAGCGTACTTATATCTGTCGTCCCCTGTTGTTTTGCTTTGAATATGCACATAGTGAGTGCAGGACAACTACATTGTTAGCATTAAATGACTTCCTCACTTGTTGAAATTCTCCTAAGGAATTCTCAAATTCCTCCCAACTAAAGAAACGCCTTCCCAGCATAATTTCATCGAAAATTCCACTGACGTCAGCAGTACTTTCACCCGCATTGCCTACCTGCAATAAACTAAAAAGGCGTTGTCAATTAGCATCCATCTGTGTCGCAATATCCATCAATAAAATGCTACATGTATAACCTAAAATCGAGAAAAGCCCTAGAACTCACGGATTCCTTGACATCGCCAGCAACCGATAGGCCAACAAACCGAGTGTATGATAAACCAAGCCTGGTACATGCACAAAATAAGTAAAAGAAAACGTTAGAATACCAACATTTTACATTTATATTCATCAAACATGCTTGCAAACAACGCATGCCGCAACCACGCAAACCTGCACACGGCATGACCTACCGAGGACAAATTTAATGTCAAACTCTCCGCCACTGTACTAGCCAATCAAAGCTGAGAAAGCCCTTAGGCGCGTAAGATATAACACTCTATAACGTATATTCTCACTCATTGTGGAAGGTAAGTAGCATTTTTGTACAGGTGCTGACGTGAAATATAAGAGATGCGGAATGAATAGTAATTGTAAGTAAATGATTCATAGAGTGTTTGAAAGTTCGTAAAACTTCAAAGTCACCGGTAAGTACACCATAATTGTGACATTTCCAGTTGTATATGAGACCAACTTTGAACTTGTCAGCAGATTTCATGATAGAGATGGTTCCGTTATTTACCAGGTGGGCTAGCAATATTCCGAATTAGTTGAGGATAGCGGCACTGTTTCAGTACCTTTGAAAAGAGAAGAAGACACAAGAAAACCGCCAGAGAGGTGCAGAAGTGTATAATAGGTGTTAATAATTCAAAACATACATAACAAACATGGGGTTCATCATTTTTTGTTGTTTTTTTATTAAAAAAATACTATTTCCCCCTGAGATTTTCTAGTGATGGAATTCTAGTCTTTCTTGCGAAAAGAAAAAAAGTTTAAGTGAAAAAAGATGATAATTTTACCTACTTATATAGGTTGAATAGGAGTTAAACACAAAAGTCAAAGTGCGTGAACCATGTAGAAGAAAAGCGAGGGCTTAATAATAACTGCTGTTTTTCTGAAGTATACATTTAGTTGTCCTTCTGAAGTAGGGGACTCATACCATGTACTTGCATTCGAGGAGTTTGTTATTTAAACTTCAGCTTTAGGCAAATTTTCAACTTCTGTTTTTTTTAATTTTATTTATTCTCTTATTTTGCAGAAGCCATTCGAACTCAGGAGCCTTAGCAATAGAGTGCTGTCCCACAGATAAGGGTGGTTCTCATATGTCCCCACCATCATATCCGCTGACTAGCAAGATTAGAACCTTTAGGATATGCTGGCCTGTAAGGCATCTGGCGAATTTGTGCAAGGCCCATAGGGTAGCATCTTGACAAGAAGCTGAGCAGGTTTGTAGGTGCTAGGAGTAAAAGCATTTTTTATAATTTAGATTTGTGCAGGCATTATTGTTTTTAAGTTAATTTTTTGTGTTGAAGACCTCAACTTATGTTTAATTCTCAAACTGTCAGAAAAATACATGTTGCTATCCTACAGATCAGGGCGATTCACATTTGTGACCACTACCATATCTGCTGATCAGCAAGCGCCACCCTCCCTCCTTTTTGATATTAAGCTCTGAGACCTTTCGCAATGACTGTAGCTGCAATACCGCAATGCTTTGACCCCGTTCTAAGTATACATTATGCTGCAAACTAATAGCTTTCATGACAAGTGCTTCCCATGTACCCACGTATTGTTACCTTCTGGGGAGAAAACATCTAAGAGAGAGGATAATCTGGCTAGGTTATAAGATATCACCCTATTTGTACGAAGTACAACAAATGCACCTGTCTGAATCAGGCACCCCGCCACATATTCTGTATCACTTGTCACAAACTGACATAAAACCAGGACTTGTGGGTAGGTTACTGGGACTCCTCAAAGAGACATTGGCAAAGAACTGAGGATTATGTTTGAAAAATTTGCAGAACATTTATTCTGCTCCATAACTGTTAATGCATCCTCTTCGTGTTCTAACCATTCGTCTGTAGATGTGAGTGGTGAAAATGAATTCCACACTGGGCCTAGGTTGACATTTTTCCTTCCAAATTATTCTATGATGACTAAAGCCAGGAACCGCAAACAGGGATGTCTAGGATCAAAATTCCCCCTCAAAATGGGGACTACTGTGTCACCTAGGTAACATATCCCAAAGGTCCGCATCACGATTCTTACGCTGTGCTTTGCCTCGGAAGGCATTGAAGAAGTGGCAAAACAAGTCTTAGTTGAGCAGAAAGATAGCAGGTGAAGTCAATGTTTGTAGGAAGCGGATAAATCATACAATGGAAAGATATTATAGGGAGATAAACACGATGACATTCCTCAATAGTGAGCAGAAATAGAACGAATGAGCTGGCACAGCCGATCATCATGTTCAGAATACTTTTTGGCAATGATGACTTTTTAAAACTAGCCTGTTACCGAAATTATAGGGCTTTACGAAGGAAACTCATTACTTAAAAGAAAACCACCACCGTTAAAGGTCTTCTAAGCTCAACCAATGAGGTGTATCAGGTTTTGCTTCCCTATGCGTGCACATGTTGAGGTATATCTTCAAAGCGCAGTGGAAAATCAAGAATGTCATAACTAGTAACGTCCGATTTTGTGAAAGTAATCCGACGCAAAAATCGAAATGTGTGGTCAAAGAGTGACAATATTCAGATCCTGATGGCGAAATCTGGCGTCCTCAGAGAGTGACGTCTTTGCACTGTGGCCCATTGGCTTGTATGTTACGGCGTCTTTAGAGAACGTTAATACTTACGAACACCATACATAGATGCTGTGATGAGGGGAACAGCCAAATGCCTTCATAAAAAAATCGGAGATCTTGGGAGTAAAATAATGGAGCTCAGATACGTACGGTCACATTCTGAACTATAGTCATTATCCTGACGAAGTCTTGGTATTCACCTAGTGTTGAAAACTACGGTGTGGGTTCGACGGAATAAAAGTTTCCACATGTTATATAGACAGAAATAGAGCAGCAGTTCATATAAGTAACAAGATCCGATCAGGTTTAGCCACAAACCTAATGTCCACCGAACCTCCAAGATCCATCTGGCGCTATGTGAATGTGAACAACACTATTGCATGAATTTTTCTTGTTGGGTTTGTTTTAATCGATTAAGATATAACCTCTAATGGTATCATTTAGTCTTCCGTATTCAAAATGTTTACAAGCTTCAGATTCGTAAGTTCCTACTAAACTTGAGGAATGGCCTGACTGTGGTTGGCAGCGTGTCGCAATACATGAGATAACTGTTCTTCACTTATGCCTCTTGGTCTCAAAATATCCTTCTGAATTTCTCACAGTTGGGTTCCAACTAGATGTCACGGATTTCTTGAAGCAGACAAAGCAGATATATCATAATGGAATGGTTTGTGCTTCACCTCAGAGAGCATTGTTTCACAGGATATACTGTCGCTGAATATTTCACTTGAAGATATCTTAAGAAGGGAAAATATTACGCATTAAACTCCTGAAAGTTGTGTTTGTTGTATAAACACTGTCCATAATAAAGGCGTTATTATTTTATGTTGACCTCAGGCATGCGACATAAAATAAAAAGTAGTCCATATAGTTTGAACCATGAGATTACACTAAATCATCATTTTGGTGAATCTGTTACATCCTATCAATCCAGGTAACATATAACATAATTTTATTAAAAATTACTGACAGAAAAAATTTACCGAGCGAAATTTTAACCAACATGCAAGATAAGTCTAGCTGTTACATCACTAACAAACTTGGGTGATTATACGGCATATCCCTTTTTTGAGGTGGCGCCAAATGCTTTGTCTCTCCTGCATTTGTGCTGTTCTGTTGATTCGAGTTAGGGTTAGTTAGATTTGCTTGGTCTAAGCAAATGCAGCTGACGTAATTTTGATGTTTACTTGGCTTTTGTCGGTTGAACGTACAGAAGGATTGTTATTTGATATTGTTCCTAGGTATGGCCGTATTGTTTGTGTAGCAGGACGCTGGAATATGCAGTTGATGCAGTGATTATTCGGGATACCGAGTATGCTTCGCGCACATTTTGACGATTGGCTTGTGAACAATTTTCTCCAGCTTGATTTCTAACCTACACTTGGTCGTAAATTTTCTGATCAGCCGTTTTACCCCACTTATTTATGTTACAAGAACCTAAAATCGTGGTAGCTATCGAATTCGTGCTCCTACAACTCTGTAGGGGTTTTGGCTTCTGAAAGTCAATAAAATCCACAGATGCAAGCAAAAAATCATGTTCGTATTTTGGCAGAAATTACGTTATGTTTTACGAACACTGGCAACCTTCGTCACTTTCTCTCGAAAATTTGAGGTGCACATCAGAACATGTTTAAATATTTTGCTGCACCTGAATTGCTTAAACATTGCCGTGGTCAGACAAATTAAGACATCTGAGGCGTGCGTCATTTACTTC